TGAAAAAAAGCCTAAAAAAAATATCCACCACTTAGGAAAAGCACTAGTCGAGGCACTGGGATATAGGGGAAAGACTCCATTTTCTATATACGCAACCTCTGAGATATAAGGAAGATCCATGTCACACTAGGAATCAGCCGCCAAGAAAGGGGGAGAAGAAGCGTGTGATTCCCTGATCAAGACCAAGGCGGCGGGAGCTCTGCCTAGAATAAAGACACAAAGGGGATAGAATGCCTTTCTTCTCTTAAGATCTTTCTTTGGTATTAGTTTTGAAAAGAAAAGAAGGCCACCGCTTATCCAATTCATTGCCAATTGCAGCAGCAGACTCGAACCGATCGTTTTGAGTGAAGGCCAATATGGGCAAAAAGGCTAAGCTTTATCGCGAATTCAAAGCCGGGAACCAAGCTAAGGATTCATGACTAGCGCGAAAGCCTAGCGAACAAAGAAGCGCAGCCCCTCCATCGACCAAGACTCCTTCAATATGCAATATGCACTTTTATGTAAAGTGGCTTTAGGTGCATGGTCATTGCCTCAGTAGGTCGATCTATGATGAAGCTTACTGGTCGTAGTATGTGTCCTTTTTATTTTTGAAGATGGTGATCATAGGACTGCCTTTTATCAATGTAACAGGCTCAGTCTGCTTCTCCCGCTGTTTGTTCGAGAACTTGTCGCTCTTCTTCGAGTTTTTTAGGTTCCTTGGACTCTATCCTTCTATCCTATAGTTATAGTAGATTAATACAAGATCTGTCCTGGTTGTTATGCCTGTACTTTGATGAGCATATTTTCGCCCAATACGATTCAGTCGATACAGAGTCTCTCCAAGCGTCGAGCAGGGCCTCATTCACTTGATTCATTTGACGAATGCCTAATCCCCCCTTTAGGCGTACAGACATCCAGCAATCTGAAAGCTGAGTCAAATATGAGAATTGAAACTCTATCCCATCATTTATGCCTTGTTCTTTCTCTAATAATCCATGTACCTGTCAAGGTTGAACAACACCAATTGTAAGCCTCTCTGTTATTATCAACGAAATGCAGACACATACCTCCCAAGCGTGGCTTGAGGATTCGTCCCACCAAATCTACCACACGCAGGGAATTTATTCCTATTACTCTTAGATCATGATCAACCAACACATCCACCGTGATAATGCCACAAGGTACTTACTGTACGGCGGCAGAAATCGGCCATCTGAAGGTAATTCGATTGATCAAGGGGCAAAGCAGGCCCTATAGCTTCGCTCTAGCGACTTCGTACCTCTGAATGAGTTGAACAACGTACGAAGTCTCTGCGCTTGCGCAGAGAGATTCGTTGAACTATGTTCAACTCATTTCGTTGAAGTTTCGGGGCTTTCATTTGGTACGCTTTCTTAATTGCTTCGGAGCCAACATCAACATCTGAATTTGACCATGTCCTTTTCATAATGGATCATCCTTAGCACTTTAAACGGTTGGCCTACCGCACTCCTGCCGGCCCACATAGGTTGGTGGTAAGAAAGGATGGATCTTCCCCGGGGCAGCCAAGCTCCGTATTCAATCCCTAGCTTCGAACAAACCTGTTAGCTGATGGCCCTTTCTCTCCCTTTAGGTCGAGTTTAGTTAAAAGGTGAGTTCCCCCCTTTGCCACTCAAGTGTACGGCAGATGCCGTGCTTAGGCCCCTTCTTCTAGTTCTCTGAGAGGGTTAGGAAAAAGGGAGAATCTACATTGAAACGAAAGGGCGCACTCTTTGCTGCTGCAACTTGTCTGCCGAAAGCCGTTCCCGTACGGGTGCTGGTACGCTTACTCGCGACTAGCGAAGTCATCCTTGTTTTTTTTATGACGATCCGTCAGTACGAAAGTCTCAAGCTGAGCTAGATCTAGGCTGCTAGAGAGCACTTCTACTCAGAGCGGCCAAGCTCACTTCGCCCCACACCGCTTATCTCCTTGCTATGTCATCAACCCCACTAAGCCAACGAGAGGATAAACCAGATTAGGAAAATGCGAGCTAGGTAGGCAGCGAAGTATTCTGTGTGGAAGCGAGTGTCTCGCTCCAATGAAGCACGAGCGGAGAGCTTCTGCTCGCTTCGTCGAATGTCACGAAGCTGACGACTTGAGTAGACTGAAAAAAGACATACAACCTTGGCAAGAACGTCGTTCCGCGGAATATATGACTCATGCTCCTTTAGGTTCTTTAAATTCTGTGGGTGGTGTAGCTACCGAGATCAATGCCGTCAATTATGTCTCTCCTAGAAGTTGGTTAGCTACCTCTCATTTTGTTCTAGGATTCTTCCTATTTTTAGGTCATTTGTGACATGCGGGAAGGGCTCGTGCAGCAGGATTTGAAAAAGGAATCGATCGTGATTTTTAACCTGTTTTTTCCATGACCCCGCTTAACTGAGCCGGGAAATCCAATGCTTGTAGTAGCTCAAATCAGATCCTTTCCGCCCCTCTTTCTTTCATGAGTGGAGGTCGTTAAGCGGCTTATGCTTCTTTGATTCTATTTGTTTCAAAGGCAAAAAAAAGTACTTGCTTAAGTGAAGTTCTCCGCCTTACTCCCAATCCCTAAACTCGCTGACTGAACTCGACTAAGGGCGGCCTATCTCCTCATATAAGGGGGAAACGTAAAGATCTGAGATAACTCCTTATCTTTCTCTTACGCAAATCCTTCTTTTCTTTAAGAATCGCTTCTTCATTAATGATCACATTCTGGTTGGGGTATGCGCCATTGGTAAGTTTGCTGAACCAAACTACACCGAAATATGTAATTGCGAAAGTGTTTGGGAAGAAAAAGCGCTTATCAAAAGATCCCTTTTCTAAGAGATATGAAATTCTTCATGTTTTCGGGGGACATGGTAAGAACATGAAACCCGGCGTGACGTGGAAAGATTCATTGATCTAGTGGCTGGTTAACCCACCCAATCTAGATGAATAGACAGTGCTTAAAGGACTTCTTCGATTCTTTCTGATTCCAAGGTAAAGTCAAAGTCTTTCTGTTCGACTTTCATTCAAGAAAGGATAAAGAGAATGCTTCAGGATCAGTCCAAGGCCGCTAAGAAGCAGATTAGTTAATGATAAATCGGGCTTGGGCCGGAGGATTGGATTCTTTTGCGAGCAGCTAAATCTCCAGCCATGTCAACAACCAGCACAAAGGAATCTGCGCATCATTCTTTCTTCCACTTTTTCTTTAAGAGATAGGAATCTTTGCTTTAGTTATCGAATCTGGGAGACATAAGCTTTCAATAGGTTGATTCCTTAAGAAAGGCTTTCTGGTCACTAAAGAAGGACCACATAAGAGTGGATTAAGTGGCAAACCTATACTATGCCCAAGTAAGACTTAAGTAAGGGTACCCTCTTTATAAACATCCGGCTACGTCTGGAGCTATGCGACTGTAGAATCATTATGATTTTCGGGCACAAAAAGCAGAAGCCCTCTTTTTCATCGCTTGCTGCCAAACAAGCATTTACAATAGTAGGTCAATGCAATTCAATGTCCAGCCAATAAACCAATTGAGGAACAAAGCGAATCCTTATCCTGGAAAAGGCTGTAAGAAAGGGATCCTAGCGGTGAAGGAGGACAACCGGAAGCATGTCTTTACTGGGAAAGCTGCCAAATCCTTCATATTCTCGGAAGCTCTTGTCAAAGGATTTGACCTCTGCTGGACCTAATGCTTTCAAATCGGGAACCTTAAAGTTCAGGCGCTACTTCCTTGGTGAAGTCCACAAGAGTGGAAAAAATATAACAAATCTCTTAGGACATGAGAATTGGAAAGCCTATCCATTACGTACTTTTAGCTGGTGTGTTGATGATCCATAAGCCCTATTCACTCTTAGATGATACGTATAGGATACGAGAAATGAATCTCAGCAGGGGCCCATCAGTCCCGAACTTGATAAAAGATAATAGAGATATACAGCTTGCTTTCGGCTTGTTAAATAAATTTCCTTCTCTACCTGCTTCTCAATACCATCTCATATGCCTCTTGGAAAAGAACCCAAGGCACCTCTTTGATCAAAAGGCTAAAGATAGGCCAAAAAGCTTATGAAAAAAGATTGAAACGACAAGAATAGGAGCGCTTACTTAGTGGTGAGGACACCGGAGAGAATGAATGAAGTGAAGACAATTCCCCCTCAAGCAGATGCGGAGAAAAGACTCTTTCTTAGTAGTTGCCACCACTCCAATTAGCGGCATTCCCTTGTTTTGCTTTGGTAAGCGGGGTTCGGAGAAGGAATGGTCTTTCATTCTGTCTATCTTTCCACGAACGCCCCTTCTTTGACGGAGCCAGCTGAACCTGTTCCATCGGACTCGTTTTGGCTTTGGCCTTCGAGTTCACGAGCACAACTACCAGAGCTCCCTGGGGAGCCAGAAAAGGAGGCTGAGACAGAAAAGAAGGAAAGAAAGCAGACCCGGGACCAGCAGCCAAGCCAGCCATGCTAGACCGGAAAGAAGCCAAAGACAGAAAGCTAGCCACCAGCCATAAAGAAAGCGTCTTTCCCACCTAGGTGAACCCGAAGCTAGAGCACAGGTAGAGCCAGCGTCCGAGAAAGTCGATCCAGTTGATTCTCTTCTGGTGACCAAGAAGGAGGAGCGGGTAGTGGATTCTGCAGATTTAGAGTCAGTTCGTTCTCGTCCCCACAGGAGCAGCAAAGACGAAGGCTGAAGCATCACTAGAGGCATAGATGGGAACATATAATCCACTAGTAGCAGATCCAATTGACCTTGTTGATCCAATCGATTATGCAGTTGATTCAGCAGCATAACCATAACTAGTACCGGATCGGTAAGGAAGTATAGGCGGCCTGTTCGCGAAGCTGGTCGATATGCTACTGATGGTCCTGGATCTCGCTCTGGAAAAGGACTATAGATGATAAGGAATGGTAACGAAGATCGAAATCCTTCCTTCCGGCAAGGTCGGACTAAACAGTTTGTAAGGCAGAAAGTAGACTCTCTCTCACTTATAGGAGCATGAGACTAAGACTAGTATGGTGAGGTTGCTTTCTTTCAAGAAAAAGAGATAAGGAAATGGCAGCAGTGCTGTATAAGACTCCTTTTCTTAAGGAATTTCTAGGGATCAATGCCCTAGCTGGTGTTGAAGGAATAGGCCCTGCTAGAATGAGAATACCTAATGCAGGTAGCTCGAAAGGGAGTTTCAGTCACCCTCGGATGATAAGAGAGTATGATTGAATGAAAAAAAGGGATTCCCAAGATCTCTTTCCTAGTCGATCAGTTCCTACTGGCGGAATGCGCCCAAAAAGTCTACCGCGGGGGGCCTAATCCCGGCTCTCTTTATATATCCTAATTGGATTTGTCATTAGGTGCTTTTGTTGTAATTGCTTTCACGCACTGGTCCACATAAGATCTCACTTGCCAGAAATCCACAACACCAATTCTGGAATGGCAAAGAAAAAGGCTTTAATTTAAAGCACGAGAATGAGGTTGGATGACTAGAAGTGGAGAGTTGGTTAGAATGACTAGAAGTGAAGACAAGTTTTCTCAAAACCATTAAAGTCAAAAAGTACTCGGGAAATCCCCTCATCTGCAGATTGGAGACCAAGGGTCTTTCCAGGAGGCTCGGGTGAGAGGGGTGTGATGAATAGAGATTTCCCACCAGCAGCTTCTCCTATCACTTTACTTCTGCAGGCGCTGGATCTTAAGGGAAATGCCCAGATCCATTATAAGATACGGATTTCAGGTAGTGAGAGAACCGAGCTGGGCCGAGCAAGTCCTCACTCGAAGAAGCAGACTGGCCGGCTTAAAGGCAAATTGAAGTCGAAAAGCCTTAGATGACTCTTTCGAGAAGGACTTCCCGGATTCGGAAGTAGCAGTCCCTCTATTCCAGTTGCAAAGAAAGGAGTAGCCTTTTGTTTTGAAAGGCAGGCTTGCTATACTAGATTGCTTGCGTCTATGATCGAACTTGAAACTAGCCCATGGAGAGGTAGAGCACAGCGTAAGGGGGAGAGTGAGGGTTGAACCTGTAATGTACCAACGACCCCTCCATAAAAGCATGCATTTCCAGACAAGAAGAATGTGGAGGAATTGTCCACATGATGAACCAAACGGAGCTTGAGGGGCAGAGTGAAGTTATCCAGAAGAAAGGGAGATGATCCTCTAAAGGCAGCGATGGCATCGCAATCCCTTGTTCAATTAGATCTATTGATGACTGTTCCCATGGTCATGGAAATTGGACTAGAGAGAGGATTCAGAAAGCTTTAGGTGACATCATAATAATGCAATTGCAGCTAGCGCCTGTTTTATTCACATTCTCACTAGAGACAAAGATGCACTATTTTTGATTTTGGGCGGCACTCTTGTAATTGATGCTAAAATCAAAGTCGGGGAAATCATTCAACCTACCTCTTGCTTTCCATTCTGTCCTCTAAAAAAGAAAGAAGAGAAAAGAACTGGGAGTTGGTGCCTGCCTGCTTACCAAGCGATTCTGGCTTTTCGTTCCTCTCCAACCAGTCGAGTGGCTTTCACTCCTCCAGTTTGATTATTATTCTTGACTTGACTTATTGGTTAGATTCACAACGTAACGCCGGAGCCCCCATTGGGGTCGTGGAGCTGTCGTACGGCGTATACCCCCCCCAAGATTCTAACAAAAAGAATTCCATAAAACCAGAGATCAAAACAGGATGCGACAGAAGCTATTAGGGTGTGGCTTGCTAATCAACTCTAGTACCACTGGCCGAACCTACATATTATAACCATGGAGTGAAACTACCGATAGGGGAACATAAAATGACTAGCTAAACTCTTCCCTTTCGACAACTTGAATTAACCCATCTCGGGTAATAAAGATTAAACCCACATAACAAGGCTCAGTGGGGCCACCCGGTACAATAGAATGGATTTCTCCATCCAGATCCAACTCAAATAAACTACTTAAAAGATCATCTTTGAAAGAAGCGTTCTCCACTTGGAGACTCATCAGTGGAAAGGACACGAATCCTTCATCAATGTAGCGAGAATAAGGGATACCTGGGAATGCGCTTAGAAATTCCCGGTCGAAATTGGCCAACATAAAATTGAGTAAGACGCAGGCCAGAAGGCCTACAGGCGGTATCCCAACCCCCTCTGACCAATTTTTCCCATCCTCGTCCAAAATGGGACATTCTAAAAAAGAGGAAATTAACTCAAAAACTTATCTCTCACTAAAGGTTCCTACTGTCGTAAAAGAGTGGGCCGAGAGATTGTATTCATAGAGTTAATCAGATTAAATCTATACAGTTTTCTGACTCTGCCTCCTCCAACTAATTGGCCATAGAACTCCCGGCGATCCGTTCGAAAACCAAACGATTTCTTCGAAAAGAAAGAAATTTGAAAAAAGTGATAACTCAACATACGAGCGAATGCAGTCAAGACGAGATCGTCGCTTTTTTCGATACGAACAACTAAATCAAAATCAAAACCGGGTAAAGAAAAGCTGTGAGAGAATCCATTATCGCAGCTCTCACTGGGGGAACTAGAAAGCTTTAGCGGGGATAGAGAAAACACCCCTTCTAATACTTCTTTTTTTATTTCATATACCCGCTGAAGGATAATAGAAATTATGGGATTCCATATATAATAATAATATTTCCCTACAAAGCTGCTCTCTTGAACATGAATCACCTCTTCCCATTGATTTTATCCTTGTCAAAATGAATGAAGTTAAAGCCATACCCGTTTACAATTTAAAATGTTTTGAGAAATTCAAATGTTATAAGTCAGGAACGCTATATGAATAGGGTCTTTAAGCCCTCACCCAGCATCTATTAGTTCAATCAACATACGTTTCAAAAAGAATTTTGAAGCCCTTCCTCTTTCTACATCCTTTTGGATGATAAGGCATGCCTATCCATTTTTTTCCAGCCTTTGTTCCACTATCAACCACCGGAATGGTTATTTTGCTTGCCCCGCTTTCCTCTCCCGCGGCAAGAGCTCGTTCGCCAAGTCCGAACTCCCACTTTATCGTCGATGACGGCTCTCTTCGATGCTAGCAACCGCGTTTGACCTTTTTCCGCGCTTCTTTCAATTTCTTTACATTCTAGCTGAAGGAGAGACTTTACCTTTACTTAGAGAGGGGCAGCGGTACCACGCTCTTCCGTGCTCGTAGGTTGACTTCCCTATGCATCCGGTCTCACAAACGTGCACTTCCCTTATGCATCCAGCCGCTTTACTAATGTGAATAGGTTATACATAAGGGTGGGTTGGTTATATACTCTTATGCGCGTTCCTTCTTCGAACCTTTTGGTATGTATTGCCCCCTAAAGATCAGATCCACCAGACGAGAAAGTAAATTCCGCACTGCTGCTGAGTCGTCGGACTTATCCACCAAGGGATTCGTGGAATTTCTGTGGATTGCGTTGGGGGAAATCTACCAAAGCTAGGCAGATAGATAGACTCCTTTCCCGCTGCTAAGGGAGAGTAAGAAAAAAAAGAAAAATGATTGTCTTTTAATCAGCGCCCCCTTTTGGGTATGCAGGTACTACGAGTCCTCTCACTACCAACCAGCAGACATCATCTGGCTGGGTCTTGCCGGTATCAACAACAAGAAAAAAACAACAAAATAGAAACAGCAACTAACTATGGCTCTTGGCCCAGACAACGTCCTAGGCGTCGGGGAGATCGGAGCAACAAGGAACGCCTAGACGACGTTTTTATTCCTGGGCTGCAGTAAGTAGATCGAGAGGTCGTTCCGCCCCTTGTCCCCGAATATGGGTAATATGTTCTAACAAATTATTGTTCCAATCTGACCTAGCTGGCGAGCGATCCCAGTTCGCGGCAGAGAACAAGACAGCAAGCGAGCGTACCTTTGTTCGCTTCTTCTCCACCAAGCACGGAAGTTTAAGGATAACTGTAGGTCGGTGGCTACCTAAGGAAACTCCGATTCGATCCGCCCCCCAGCTGGGAGGCATCTACCTCATCCCGATCACAAGGAGAGGTTCACCATGATGGGGGTACTTTTTTTTTTCCCTTCCGGAAAGAATGAAATGCATAGGGGACCATCCTTTTGTTGCGGCATGCTCCTCAGATTTATGGATTTGCAGGGGGCCTCAGGCCCTACTTAGTTGACTGACAATGACAAAGGCTTGCGAAACTAAGTAGGGCCTTTTCCTTTTTGAAGAACCCATTCTCATTATCTTTCATACATAAGTCAAGTAGGCGCTCCCTAACCGGTCGCCTTAGTAGCGTTGACAAAGAAGAACAGCCGGTTAAAAGACAGCGAATCTTTTTATTTATATTATTATTTATATAAAAAGATATAAATTTTATATAGGCCAGCTTGACAAGCTACCCTTCCTCTTGATCTGAGGTGCGAAGAGAAAGATCTATTTTTTATGACTTCCACTTATCGATCCCGGCCCGGAAAAGTGACCGACCAGGGCCCTATTTTTGAATGAAAGAAAGGGTTTATGAGCCCTAGCCCTGTAAGCCCACACCTGTGTAGAGTAGATCGTTCAACACCTGCGGCACAAACAAAGTTTTGACCTATTGGTCCTAGTATCATAGGCGACCGAACGGCCGCCCCCTAATTACTAGACCAACCTGCTGTAATAATTCCATAAACACCTAACGAAGATATGGCAAACAAATAAAGTAGCCCTATGTTCGAATCTGACAATACCATACCATAATCAAAAGGTACAACGGCCCGAGCGACCAGACTTAACATAAATGTAGCCACTGGAGCCATTCTAAAAAGGGAGAAATTAGCACTACTTGGTGAAATAGGTTCTTTTAGAATCAATTTCAAACCATCTGCTAGAGGTTGTAACAATCCGAACGATCCCACTACATCAGGACCCTTTCGACGTTGCACAAAAGCCATTACTTTACGTTCAGCTAGCACTAAAAAGGCTACTCCTAGTAGAAGTGGTAGAATTATTCCAAGTATTTCAGCTGGAACAGCTATGTACGTTTTCGATTTTCTATTCACTCATGATCTGGCCTGGTCGACCCAATCATGATATTGAAGGATTGGACCTTTTCTCGCAAAACCCTGTATCTCGACATACGGGCATTCTTTTCGATCTTGTACTTGTACCTTAGTACACTTCACACCAAGCCAATCTCGATAAAAAAAAAAAAAGAAAAGTTCAAACAACTAGATGATTCAAGTCTACAGTAGTGCTTTCTACGGTACGATCCGCAAAGACCTTTCTTCTTTCTTTCTTTTATGCAATTTTCGGGACAGATCCCCCCTAAAATGCAGCAGTGATCTTATATACGCTATATGTGGCTGCTTCTTAAATAGCTTGGCTTTAGTCCCTATGTCCCGTACCCATTACCTTTGGGTAGGGAATCCACAGGAAGAAGCATAAAATCACCCGAGGAATGCCTCTATTTATGCCTGGCCGCAGGTTTCATCATTCTTTATTTTAGCTCGGTACTGAGGAAAGAGGGAGCAACTTAACCCACCCAGTCTGCATTCCTTCCTAAAGGAATGCTGGAAAGGAAAGCACTTGGAACAGGCCGGACTTTGGCTTTAGGAAGAAAGCCCGACTTCGAAGCTCAGCTTAGCCCAGGACTTTGGAATAGAGCGAAGGAAAAGCGCCCTGGATCTCTCGATCCAGAACTACTAGGAGGGGAGGGAGAACCTTATCCCATGACTCACTTTAGTCATGGAGGGCTGGCAAAGAAAAGTCACTTTAAGAGCTACCAGGGCAGGGAAGGTAGTCAGCTTATTAACTGGAACAAACCAACTCCATTGGGCAAGTGAGGGTTAACCCCCTAAATCCAAGTCGGGGGGACTTCCTCAAAGATCAAAGACAGGATTGGGAAGACCGGACGTTAAGAGAGAACAAGGGATGAGAACTAGCGTCCGGAGATAACAATAGAGGCCTTCAAACAACCACGATGTTGGGGGATAAAAGATAGAGGATAAGACTTCTAACGATCCTTTTAAGATACATAGATTATCCTACATGCCCATAACTATAGCTACAGGAGCTAATAGAAAGAGAGGGATACGAGCCTCTTTTCCAAGCGAGCCATGGGAGTCTACGTTTGCGTGGGGCCGGGTACCACACATATGTGGTGAAAGCCGACTTGCCTTTTCATCTAAATCGTCACTGATATAAGCACGTGCTAATATCGTTCTGCCCTTCGGGGACCACCCCTCTTCCTTTCTTGTTTTGGTTAGGTTGACCAGAAGTTTTTCTGCCAACTTCTTACCAACAAGGAAAAATGATACAAAAGCATCCCGTCTAAAGATTGGATGACCTTAGTACGGTTGAATTACGCATCAAGGCGCGTCAGCCTTAACGCCCTAACTAACTAGAAATATCTTATGAGAAGAAAGGGCTTTCTTTCTATCGCTGTAGGATGAACGACTGCAACTTTTTATTTTATTCTAAAAAACCTCTTCTCTTATCCCCGCTGTTGAAGAAAGACACGGTCTTAGCAGCTATGGAATCCGTTGGAACTAGAAGTTTTGACTCTTTTGGAATGGAATAAGCCGTAGAGATAGGTCGTCGGCTTATTCCATCGACATGCCTAGGTCATTCTCTCGATCAGTTTGGTTTTGAAAGAGATGGGTAGGCAGGGGTGGGAATTGGTTAGTACAGTAACAGTAGTGGTCTTTTTTTTTTCTTTTTCTTCTCCCCGGCTGGTGAAAGTCATCCCGCAGAAGCAGTTGGGAGAGAAAGATTCCCCTTGCCTGAGCTATTCTTTTAGCAGTGCTTTATCGAAGGATACTCACTTCTGACCCGCTTTGTGGGGAATTTCTTCCAATTGCCTTGTCCAAGCTGATGGAAGATGCTTACAATTCTTGTGTCTAGGCTTCGGCCTTACCCACCCTTTCGTGGTAGAACCTGAAACGCTTTCTTCCTCGCCTAGGTGTGCTGCTATTGATTGGTGCCCTATCCAGCCCGTGCTAAGGCAAAGGACTTCTCTTTCCACTTCGGTAATATCTTGAATCAAAACCAAAGAGCGCCTTCTTCCACAGAGACGAGTGAAAAGTTTCATTTTCTAGTTATGAAAAAGCCAAAAAAAAAACAGGACTTTGGTGAGTCAACACTCTTGTTTTTCCTAGTTAGAATCGGGCATAGAAGCGATATTCCTCGGCAAGAGTCTATATTTATGTAGTGAAAAAGCCTTCTCCGTTTGGGTCAGTAATAACGTACCGTAGAATTGGACCACCAACAACCTTGGGATCAGGGGTCTACCTTACCCACCTACTGAAAGAGATAACCATCTTTTCGAAGCTGCTCAAATAGCCGTATCCCGAAGTGGGTATTCCAGGTAAAATGCTCAATTCGCTAAGGTCTATTATCTTGTGATAAAGATGTTTTTCGATGTTTGATGCCAGGCAGGCTTGTTGGAGAACTTGTCCCTGTAAGTTGCATTCTCGACTCCTCTTTAGTGCTTCACCTAAGACATGTGAGAATTTGTATATGAGTAATCTTAGCTAGCGACGCCTTCTTTGCTGTTCTTTTCCTAGCGAACCTAAATGCATTGATCCTCGGACATTGAATTCGATATTGCATAGGTAGAGCTGCATGTCTATATCTGAGCAGGCAAACCTCGATGCTTATTCCCCATCCGAGCCGCCCTTTTCTGGACCATTGTGCACTATACTCCTATCCTCCCCTTATTTCTAGCACCGGGCTTTGGGATACATATAGTCTATTGAATCACAGGTCAACGGAATGCGATCAGAGGCAAGCTCAACAAGCCACTTCTCAATACATAGTGGATTCAAGTTCAATGAAACACCGTTTGACCGTTGGCTTAATGGACGAATTCGTATAGGAAGGGGCAAAGGGTAGACGGAAGAAAGAAAGCCATCACGCACGAAAGCAAGTCTAGCTCTCACCTGATCTCCTTTAGTCTTTCTCCCAGTCGATTATAGAAAGGAACCTCAGGGCCACTCGATCACGGAAAGAAAAAAGCGCAGCCTATTCTGACTAATCTCAATTCCTACTATAGCTTGAGGTTGAACCTGATTTTGATCTCAGAAATAACCCGGCAAGAAAAGCCCAAGAGAGTTTAAAAGGGCTACCAATACAATAGTTCTTGATTAGAGTGAGTCTCCCTTTCGATGAGGTTTGGAGCGGACTCCCAATCAAAGCAGGGAAAGCCCAAGCTTTCTTTTCTTCTTAACCGGACACTGATATGAAAGACAGCATCAGTCTGGAACTGAGTCTGAACGTCTTCCTTCTTCTTATATACTACCAGATTGGTGGAAACCATACTCCGCGAATGTGCTTTATACGCGAAAGCTGGCACTTGGATCTTTACATGATAAGCGAACCTTTGCATCTTTTGTTCTAAGTTCTTCCTTTGCAGCAATTACTAGATCTTCCTTCTCAGATGCGTGGGTCAGCAAGCCTTTGTTGTAACTAAGTATGTTCTGCCAGGGAGAATCACCTGACATTTAGCAGCTGTATGAGCAGATAAGCCTATAATGGATCAGTTGGGTAGTCAGCACGTTACCTAAAGCTCTACTGATAGAGAAAGAAAGAGTAGGATCTGCTTCCAAGGGGATTTCTGGATCTCCGAAGTCTGAGAGGAAGACTCGACCTATTAGGATGTTCCAAAGACGTTACCAACCAATTCCCAGCTCTTTCTTATGCGCAAGAAGCTAAGCGAGCAAATGAACGGTTATACTTTGTTCATAAATGAGAAAGAACTGGGTCCCGAGTTAGCCTTCATCAAAAAAGGATTCCTAGTTCGATCTAAGCGGGAAGACAGGCTCAAGTGCTTCCAGATTCTTAGTTGAGAAAGAAGCGAGCATCCAGCGAGTGAAAGACCATGTTACTTCGATCGGATCTCTCTGGGGACTGTGAAGTATTTGATAGGTAAGCATCGATGGGAAGGATAGACTTGGCTATGAGTTCTGAAAACACCAAGGATGTTATAGATAATATAGGAAGTGTCCGCGCAGGTATAAGTAAGTTACCAGCGGGAAAGCGAATCAGTTAGCATAAAACGAGCTAGAAGGTCCGGTCGGGAAGTTCTAGGATGACTCGACTCTGTTCGATACTGAACGCTATACCGACCGAGGAAGACGCTATCGATCCCTGAATCGAGGTGTTTACTACTTTCAATCCCTTACAGCTGCCTTCCAAGCCCTTCCACTGCCCGAACTACCAATCGCCCCACTATCTGCTAGTCTGGTTCGACTCGAACTTCTGTCATGTCAAGCTTCCTGACCTGCTTTGTACCAGCCGGTATTTTGTGTACTTCGGGGCGCTCACGAGCTCGCTCTAACGTCGTGCCCGGGTCACAACGAATGGAACTTTTATAATGCATGCACAATTGGACAAGCTGCTTACCGTGGCCACCTACCGCCTTCCCTTAAGGCCGTCGTCATGCTATAACTCTCAAACGGTTGTCAAGGATGGATGTAATTCCGGAAGCGCTTGGAACGTGAGTTAAGCGGCTTCCTTCGAGGAAAGTAGGTCTTTTTGCCCTCACAATTCCTTTATCCTTTCTCTACGCAACCCAGGGCTTTCACCCGGAGTCGAACCTTCACTGCCTTAATACCTTAAACGGAACAGTTAATCGTAGAGCAGGAGGAATTAAGGCTTTCTTTCTGTCCGCTAGTCAGGAATGGAATCGGAGGCTACGAATACGAATTCTTGAATGGGGGTAATTTTCGAATAATTATTAGACAAATAGGGCACTAGAACGCTCTTCTTCCTCCTTCCCTTGTCAGGCCTTTCGTCGAGATAAAGAGGTCAACAAAAAGTTCTTTGAGCTATCGACGAAATGGCCAGCAGAGTTTGATTTCAGCATTGAGAACTTCTTTCTTAATCCTCGCCCTTTGGTTGACTTACTCCGTACCTAGAAACATAGTTGAGACTGGTCGATCTTTGTCAATCCGGCTTTCACTCTCAAGCAACCTTTGCTCCATTCGTGGAAAGAAACCTAAGACAAGAGGGTTGGGTCAGCAGATTGGGTCGACGAAACCTCTTTCGACAAAAGATCGGAAGGTGGCGATCCTGATCCTGAACTAAGTGACTAACCTAACGGTCTCCTTCCTTTTTCGCGCCAGCTCCAGTCGTCCCTTTCTATAAAAGAAACAAGGAATTGACAAAG